CCGGGTTGGAAAGATCATAGCTTTCCAGGAATTCATCACTGCCACATAGATTTTCTGGTGCATCCATGTATGGCTCATCAAGCAAATAGTTATTTCAAAAGGAACTAACATCGCCTGATTTCTCCACATATTCATGTTTGATTGGTCCAACATCAATGTCATTAAGCTCCGGTAAATCAGAAACTGGCGGATCATCTGGCAACCCTTCTATCATATCTGATTTCTCTTGTGCCAATTAAAGGCTTTTGATTATCTTCGGCAGTCCAAGCAGTATTACCCATGTCAATTATAGGTTTTTGATCACCTTCAGCAACTACCCCAGTCTGCTCAATGTAGTAGTCAGATTCAACATTGTTGCCCAATTCAATATTGTTGCCTGATTCAGCATTGTTGCTTGATTCCCCGTAGTAGAAGTTAAATGTAGCAGAAGCATTCTCGTAAGGAACATCGATGTCAAACTTCTGGAGAAAGACAACATTTTGTGATCTAAGAATTCGTGTGACAACAGACCAAGAATTGAACAGGCAGAATTCTTTACTCATGACAAATGATTAAGATATTTTGTCTCCACCCTTTCTCATCACAAAGAATCAGGCTTCTTTTCTTATTTTATTCACTCTACAAGCTAAAACTAGGGTAATCAGAGATTAGAGAATTACAAAGCCATTGTCATTCAAAATTACATATAACGGAAAATAAAACAGAACAAAACTTCTTCAGCTACCAACTAGTTTTCTAAGATTGTGACAAAGATCTAAAATCAAATACCTCTATTCAGTACTCTTCTTCAATTAACAAACTTCAATTATAGTTTTGCAGATGTAACCAACTAGAGGCAACACAAACAACTGGCATGGAAACAAGAACAAGGAAGCATTTTACCAAGTTCTACATAACCTTCACGTAGACACCAAATGATTCGAAAATCTAAAACACCTGGCAGGCACAAAAGTTCATCTGCACAATAGCCGATAATTATAGCTAACTTTCCTATATCTGTCACTCTAAACAGTAGCCAACGCCAAACTTCATTGCCACTCCACTGGCTTAATTTGCTTCTTTTGGAAGTTGAAACACCAAATTTCCCATCAATCGTACATATCAATAATTAATGCAACCCTATTACCATTTTAAGAACTACATGCATAACATTTAACACTAAAGTCATACCAAAAACAGAAAGTGCACATACCTGGTCAATGTCATTCACTTCTACAAATGCATCTTCACCAACAACCACCTCATCTGGGAGGTAATCTTGTCCGGGAACAAAAACAGCATCATCATCCTCCCATTCCTCCTCAATAAACGGTGCCCCATACTGTTCCCCGTTCTTCGGGCCGGATCCACTCTTCTGAAATACCCTGCACAAAACAAATGAAT